TTTCAATGGCTATGGTGAAGAAATCAGTAAGTCCTCTGATGATCCCACCTGGGCAATCCAGCTGCCTGGACTTCCATTGCTAGCTAAACGTGATCTTCCCTCCTTTGTGCTTCCTCCAAGTAGCGATCACAAAGTCTTTGCTCTTACAACATGTAAAGAGCATCTAGAAACATTAGATGCAGAAAAAAAGCCAAAAGTGCTTGTAAATACGTTTGATGCTCTGGAGCCTCATGCACTTAAGGCGATTGAAGATTACGAGTTAATTGGGATTGGTCCCTTAATTCCTTCTGCTTTTTTGGATGGTAAAGATCCATCAGATAAGGGCATTGGTGGTGATCTTTTTCAAAAATCAGAGGATTATGTGCAGTGGTTGAACTCCAAGCCCAAATCTTCGGTGGTTTATGTGTCATTTGGGAGTCTTCTGAGGCTTCCAAAAGTTCAAATGGAGGAGATTGCTAAAGGATTGCTTGAGTGTGGGCGACCCTTTTTGTGGGTCATACGAGTAAAAGAAAACCTAGAAGAAGAAAAAGACGATGATAAACTAAGTTGTTTGGAAGGACTGGAAAAACTGGGAAAAATAGTACCATGGTGTTCCCAACTTGAGGTCCTGACACATCCTTCGTTGGGTTGTTTCGTGACTCATTGTGGATGGAATTCGACATTGGAGTGTATAGCTTGTGGTGTTCCCGTGGTGGCGTTTCCACATTGGGCTGATCAAGGAACTAATGCAAAGCTGATGCAAGATGTGTGGAGGACAGGCCTAAGGGTGAACCCAAGAGAAGATGGCACCGTCGAGAGCGCCGAGATTAAGAGGTGCATTGAAACAATAATGGATGGTGGGGAAAAAAGTCAAGAATTGAGAGAGAACGCTAGGAATTGGAAGAATTCTGCAAGAGAAGCTATGCAGGAGGATGGTTCTTCCACTAAGAACTTGAAGGCTTTTGTTGAGGAGCTTGGAAATTATTGTTGAGTCAATAATTTACCACCTAGGATTTAATTTATTTTCATTTTCAGATCGTTTATTCCGTTCATTTTCAGGGCAGATTGCTCCATTAGTGAACTATTAGGCACTCTTTTAAGGGTGACTTTGTCTAGGTAAACATCTTCGCTGTCTGCAGGACCTCTTTTGTACCGAGAATGTTTTGCGAGAAAATATGATTGTGTTTTTTCTTTTGTTTATCCTCATAATAGCTCAAAAAAGCACTTGGCTTTCTTGTCTATGTGAAAGGGGTTACTTTTCATGAGCATTTTCTTTGCAAAGCTGTGTATCAAGGAAATTGTCAGTGACTGCTGCAATATGCAATTAATGTCGGAAAATGGAAAATAATTAGTTGCAGTAAATTGCAAAACTATAAAATGCGGAAAGTAGAACTTATCGATCGAGTCTAGAAAGTAGAATTTATCGATTGAGTCTCGTGATAACACGATATCGTAAAGTGAAATTGCTTGCCTTTAACTACTGCAAATTAAACATGTGCGGGGCAATGACTCTTAGAATACAATGATCAAACAAACCACTTATTGAACAATTACGAATGATTTCATAATCCTTTAAGTATAATTAAAAATATATACATAAATATAAAACTCGAATGTGCAAAATACCAGAATATGAAAATGTTAATTTCATTTTTTATGTAATTTTTTCGAAAGCATACGCGTGTTTATATAGTCAGAATAAATACTACTGTCTCCACTATGATCCAAAAATATTTGTAATTTTTAATGGGTTGTTGATAGTGGATTGTTTAAAAATGATCAAATTTTACTAACTAATATGACCCATTAAATAAATTCGAAAATTATTAAAATAAATAAAAATATTATTTTAATCAAGAAAGCCCAAGAGGAAGTGAACCAAAGTCTCGACCTTCGACACAAATTTCACACTTTTAATCAATGGGACACTTCATCTAATTTAGTTATTTCTTTCACATAATATATTTATTGTATAAATATATAACAATTATTTGGTTGAATATAAGAAGAGACAAACTTGATCGAGCACTATTAAAGAAGTTGACAAACATACGAGTGGTCAATCTCCATACGACTCTTATCATAGAAAATTACGTATTCTCGAATCAGTGACTTATTACGTTACGCCTTCAAAATTATTATGCCATATTTGTTAGTAATTAAAAATCAAATTTTAACTTAAGTCCAAAACGACGACAATCAAAATCTACTAATGTTAATCCTCATCAAACAGGGTTTGTATATCATATTAATATGAAATTGAACCTTTTTGAGTATTGGAAGATCGTTCAAGATTTTTTCAACTGATTCCCACCAAATTCTTTTTTTTTATTATCTCAACCTTTTCAAATTCATTTTGTCATCTTCATAATAATTGTCAGAATTTAATATTTCAATAGTTAAATATTATGTCATTCTCAACCTTTACCAAATAATTGTCTGTTTATTTTGATTCAAATATTTATTTTTTCTTGTGTGTTGGCAGACAGGTATTGAAAGTTGAAAATTCCTTTTTAATGTGCCTTTTGAAAATGTCGATACCACCTAACTAATGGAGATGCCTTCACATGGACTAGCGGTACCACATGTATTAGATTGATTTGTTTGGTGCGTTTACCTTCTTTCTAAATGAGAGTATATCATAATGCACAATTTGAATAAATTAACACAAACCAGCTTGATGAGATGTGACCTTTTATTTTGGACTTTAAGTTTGCGCCAATTGCTTGATGCCAATCGAGTAATCTATATGTTGCGTTAAAAATATATCGAATTATGTCATTTTTTATGACCAAATACGAACTTTCATTATAATGAAAAGTCACAAACTTTAGGTACGAAATGAAATGAGGTGTACAATCATCTAAGTACCAATTGGCTCGGAAATTAGTATCAAATAAAACAAGCGAATGAACTACCAATCTCTAAACTAAAATAGCATGAACCATACTCTACGACACTAAGAAGAGCTACATTATTAGAAATTAACATATCACTCTATGCAAAAATATTGCAAAAAAGGGATATCTCTAGACATAAAATAACACAGACGGCACCCTACATCACTAAAAAGCACTAAAATATAAAATATTAATGGACCACTCGAGGTGGAAATTTACCGGTTAATATATTGGACAAGTTGAAGAATATCTACATTAATCTCACCAATCTTATTTAGGAGTAGACATTTTTTTTCTCGGAATTGGTGAAACTGGATTAGAACCAAATAGAACTGGTCGGTTCAATCCGATTCCTCTGCTAAATGTGTCAATTTTGGGATCGTGTATCAAGAATCGATCGGTTTCAGTCCGATCCTCAGTACTGCCTTGAGGATTGATAGTGAACTTTGTTCTCCCGAAATTCCTTTTTTTGCTTGTACAAGATGCATTCGACTTTGAACACTAGATCTCAAAATTATATCACGTTAAAATTTAATTTTCCATACGCTTCTTCTTCTTTTCCTTTAATGGGTAATCAAAATTAAAATCTAAATAATTTTATAAATACATTACAAATTCATAATTTTAATGCAACCCAATAGAAAAAATATATATATATTTTTTTAGTTTAATATTTCATAAGAATTCAAATTTCTCGTTGTTTTCAAAGTGATCGGCCATCAAAAATCAAAATTCTTGAGTATTACTAGAGATAATCAGGTTATTGTTATTACTAAAGATAATCAGAATATTGTCATATGGATTTTTGTAAGAATTAAATTTTTATCGAGATTTTACCACTTATGATGTGTTACATAGTTTATTATTTTTTTTGGTCTTTATGAATTGATCTTGAGCTTTGAAGTGAATTTTTGTTTGTTATCCTGTTTAATTGATTTTTTATATTAATAGATTACAAGAATGATAAGTGATTTCATACTCTAATTTTTTTTTTTTTATCTATTTTCAATTTCACAAGTGATCTCATATTATATTTTTATATTTTTGTCAATATAAAGAACCGGACCGGACCGAATCGAAACCTGTTGGTTTGGTTCGGTTCTATAATTGGATATGGAAAAAATGATTTCATTTCTAACATTCCCATTGATATTCAGTTTGGTTCGGTTCTGTTCCCTTTACAACCCGGCCGAGTTAAACCGCTCTCACTCCTAATCTTATTGGCTACTAGGTATTTGGTTTCGACACTAGGGGTCCCAATGTCAACACCAATGTGCAAAAATTTTATTATACACATTTTTAATAGTTCATTGTCCATTTTAAAATGATATGTTAAGTAATTACATAGTAATTGAGTCTAAATTTAATGACAATATTGTTATTACTTCAAGCACACTACATTGTCCATCTCCTGAAATGTTAAGTCATGAAAATATTGCTATTCAATGAAGTAATTTCGGTGCATACGTGCGAAGTTGCACACCATATCCAAATTTTATCTTACTAATGTCCATCCATAAATAACCTTTGTACACCGAGCGCTCAACATATGTAGAAAATCACAAAGCAACCTGAATAGGCTAAAATCATAAAACTATTCAGAAGATCACAAAGCAACCGGAAGAGGCTAGAATCACAAACTATCCATAAGATTACAAAGGAACCGGGAGGCCATTAAAAATCATAAATAGTCCGAAAGATCAAAAAGAAAACGCAGGGTTGGAAAGCACCCATGGCCAAAATGTTGGAAGATCACGCAACATTGTTGGGGGCAGAACGAAGTTATCCAGTAGGATATGAAATATTGATGACAACAATAAGACGAACCCAAAGACAAGAATTTAATTTGATAGAGGAATTGAAGATTTTATTCAATTATAATGGAGAAAGAATTATAACAATTGCGTTTCTCACAATTATTCTAATTTCTGTAATAAAATAACTTGTAAAGAAGAGTAACTATATATAGGGGATATGTCAAAACCCTAATAATATTCTTAAAAATTGAAATAGTATCAAAAACGCGTGGAATAAATGAAATAATATTTTTCTTAAAAAAAAAAAAAATCCAACCGAATTTAGGTCACAAACCCAACAAGAATGCACCCAAAGCCTCGATATATGGCGTACAAACTTATTTCCAGAAATTATGAAGTTTATCACATATGTTTAGATTTGTACATAATGCTATTGAATAAAAAATCATTACAAATGGCAACTATACATCAACCGAAACACACAACCATCAATTGGAATGTAGAACACAAAATCAAGAACTCTGTTACTTAATATTCATACCTTGAAAACAAAACTTTTCAAAATTTATTTTTCCATTTCAATTCTAACCCTCAATGGAATGTATGACTTACGCATTATAATGGTAGATCTATATTGAGTTAGGGAGTCCCAAACCTTGACCTTTTTCATTGATTTTCCATAATAATTCCTCAAATTTTATGCTCCCACCCCACCCCCCACCCCCCCCGCCATGTGGTTATTAGTAAGCGTAAATGTTACACTTATGTTGGCCATCAAAAATAACATTTAAAAGTGATTATTACGAGCTCGATACTAAAATATTCTTATTTATTGATTATTTGTTCTCAAAGGAGTAAAGTTCAATATATTCTGGAGGTCGAGGATCAAGGAGTCATAATTGGAAGTTGAAAGACCACAATTGCAATCATCAAGTACTCAAAATTATGGTTCCCTATCATCATATTGATAGCCCAAGAATAACTAACCAAGAAGTGGGTGGATTGATTTTTAAAATTTTTTTGAAAAATTAATCTAAATGCAAGCAAATAAAGACTAAATAGATTAGTTCAAATACTAAGTGCAAATAAGAAAGCAATAAGTAAAAGGGAAGAAATGATGTAAACGATATAATTGTGAATGTTCGATCCAAAACAATGATCTACGTCCTCTATTACCAAGCTCTCTAGCACGAGCAAGGCTTTTCACCATATTGATTGATTTATGGTGTAATCTAACACTTTACAGCGCTTCCGAAGACTTACATTGATCCTTATATAATATTGAGTTTTATGGGATATCAATATGACCCACACCCAATGTTTTAAAAATCGAC